TTTTTTTTTTTTTTTTTTTTTTTTTTTTTTTTACATCTGAATCAACGCCTAAAACGCTAAAAATTTTATAAGAAATCTTGATTTTTGTGAAAGCATAACATTATGATTATTGCTACACTTTGTTTTATAATTTTTTCCTTTCAAATAAGATTTCAAAGACGTTATTTTATCAAATATTTTTTCAAAAAATTAATTTGAAATATCATATAACAGTGGGGATCTGTCTGTGAGTATCGACGGTAAAAAATGGTATCACATGACTGCTGCGGCAGGGCATAAACGCGTAAATAAGCACTTGAAGTCTTCGACAAGTGAATAATAAATACCAATATTATTAAGACGTTAACACTGTTACCACAAAATTTGTGAAAGTTGGTCATAAAGGCGGTTCTAGTGTGTTTTGGTAGACATTTATCGTTTAAAACTGTTGATAAACTTCAGCGTTTACCAAAAATATTTTTTTAGACAATATGAGGTGATTAAAGAGCAATAACCAATAACCACTGATAAAAAAGCAATTTAAATAGCGATCAATTGCCGCACTTGTTTAAACGACTTAAGTTTTTTTATACGAGAAGCATTCAAGTTCAAAATTTATCTTTGTTCTTTATTAGATTACACACGCTTTTTTCACATTTTGCGTTGCTGCTTTACGTTGACCGTTCTGTTAGGCACTGCTGCTATATTTTTACTTAGCAAGTGTGCTATCATCGGTAATTTGACTGTAAGTTTTTTGACTGGACCGTAATATATGTCCTGCGCCAACAATTATTTCTTTTAACCAAGTAGTTAGATAAACCTGGCGACACTTTGAAGATTGATGAGTTATTTGTTTCAGCAAACTTTCGCTTCTCATGTAATACCTTTATATCAAACTTTAAAAATTAGAAATTCGCGAATTAATTACATTTTTTTGATCTTTTTTTCTTCATACCTTGGCTGTTTTCTTACCATTTTTCGGTCGAAATAGAGTATAGAAGAGTTGAAAACTGAGATATAAAAAATTTAAACAAAAACCGTTTTTAAAAAATCAATTTTTGACTGTTACAAAAGCTGCAAAAACTTTAAGAACACATTTTGACTGCCAAAATTGCTTAAATAACCAGAAAATTTGTACTTTACTGTGAACCAAAAAAATATATGTTTTTTTTTTCAAATAAAAATTGAAAAGGTTTAAAATGTGCAATTCTGGAAGTAGTGAAGTCAGGAACGTCTAAGGTTCTAAAGAGAAAGTGTACTAGATTTTTACGTAAGGAAAAGATGACCCTTATCGAACTAGAAACCTTATAAATTGTAAGCATTTTTTTCTTGCTTATTATTACCGATAATGTTCGCAAATAGAGAAAAAATCAGATATTTGACGACAACTGTAATGGTATTATCTATAAAAAAAAACAGTAAATGTAAAAAATATCGAAGTTTTTAAAAATTTAGCAAAAAAAACTGGCGTTGTTTTAGTCTAATGACCCTGTTGGTTCCAGCAGTTCCCAAGCTGGGTTGGAAATACCACTTGTAAATGCAATACACATATTTTCAAAAGCACTTTGCTTTTAAATTTTTTCGTCTTTAAAACGATTTTCTTTCTTCATTTTTCATAAAACTCATATAAGTCTGTCGCCTAAACTGTAACGTTCAATATTCTCTGCCACCAAACTTTTTCGCTTTCGACAGTTGAGTACTTTTGACAGAAATCGGAAACACCTTGTTTCTTAACTTCTTTAAATCGAGCGATATCTCGCCTTCATATTTATTTTTAAGCGTCTTAAAGTTGCAAATGATCTCAACTGGGTTCTTTGCTTATGAAGAAATAAAACTAGCGTTTCAGGGCTTAGACTACCAATCTACTACAACCTACTTTTTGAAAAAATCTATGCAAGAAAAAAATTGTCATTTTGCTTTGAGGGTCTAATAACTTTTTTTTTCTAATAACTTCTTTACAGTAGTAGAGCAATTTTTTTATTAACTAACGTAAATTATGTCCAAAAAATACTCGTCAAGAAGCATTCTTTGTCTGACTAAGATTTTGCGACAATCCTGCAGTCTTTACTCTCGCTCTTTATGTGGCGTTTTTGTAGCGATGTTGTAGGCAGAACTTTAGCTGCAAAGGGTAACAAAGACAGTAATTTGCGTCGCGGTTATTTCAGACGCACAAAGAGAAAATCAAAAGAAAGTAGGCTTTAATCTCGAAGAATTCTTGGAAGAAGTCTTTTAAGTATTAAATCAGTATTTCACGTACCGTACTGCTGGATATTGAATCGTTTGCCAATACTAGAACACACCGCATTGCTCATGTGCTAAGAATGAAAATCGCGCTTCTATCTTCAATCAGTTCAAAATTTTTGTAAGGTATGCGCTTACTACTTCAAGAGGCACTAAATGCAATCAAGAGCGATTGTTTAAGCCTGAGGAGACAGCATTTTTTCAAAACAAAAATAGCTTTTACCTGCTATGTGGTTCGCAGTATTTTTGAAAAAAAGAACAGACAAGTGCTTTACCGACGCAATCAATGTTTTTAGTACTTTAACCTCGCTTAGTTGCCAGTACATTTTTCCAAAAATTTTTTTATTTGCTCAATTTAATAAAACCAGGTCTCTTCGGCAGGGTCTAACCGTAAGCAAGAACATCAAAATTTGCATTGTATGGGATGAGTGAGCTGCTTACAAAATGGCAAAAATTTTGCCTGAAAATTATCAGCACTTGCTAATTACAATGAAATAGTTACACTGATCTGCTTTTTAAAGCTTTCACAAAGATCGTGAGTGCGAATAAAATCGAATCGAGAGAAAAAATACTTTTGTCGAGCAGTTAGCATCTAAAAAAGTAACATTTGCAGTTAAAGATTTTCTACTAAGTACCATGACAGTAATTCTTTTACTGAACCTGAAAATATGTAACTTAAAACAGCTTGAGAAAAAGACGTCTTGTGTTATGAATTTCAGAAAAAATGACATTGGATAGAGTGTTTTGTTGTTGCCTTTTCAGTCCTAAAACTATCCGAAATTTTAGTTCGTTTTTGTAGCTATTTTTTTCTGATTGTTTATGAATGAGAAGCGATAATGCATTGTGACAAAGATGTTGAATCATTTTGTCCGTGTACATTTTGCTTTGTCATTCGTTCCTACTTTAATTTTACTTATTTATTTTGTCAAATAAATTTTGGACCATGTGTAGTTTTGAGTGAAATATGCTCGAATATTACTTTGGGTAAGGCATATCAAATTAGTCATCATCATCATTTGTTCAATTTAATACAACCAGGTCTCTTCGGCAAGAGTCTAATCATAAGCAAGAAAATTGAAATGGGCTCTGCGCAGAATTTTAGACCGCTATACGGTAGAGCCTTGAGAGAAACCTGTTGAAAACAAATGCGCTTCTCCATCTGTAGTCTAAACAGGCTAAGATGTATCAGATGCATATGAAGAGATGCTCTCCAAGTGAGCAACAGCTTCTTGAAACTGTAGCTTGAGGCAATCAAACAGTTGGAAGGTTTTCTGCAGAAGCGATATAACGTGAAAACAATAAGCAACCCTGCACGACTAAAGCCAACTTTCATTAGCTTCATTTCACTGCTTGTACTTTCTCGCTGAATCACAACACCCTTGAAACTTTCCAGAATTGCATAGAATTATTTCTGATCTTCCGGGTTCAATTGCTCGTCTTCACAAAAGTGTCAGGCTTCTACCCTTTTGTGCAAAAAGGTGTCTTGTAAGCCTTCAAAGTATCAATAATGTTTGTTGCGCAAATCGCTCTTCAACTGCGAGGTCATTGTAGAGTGTGTCCGGTGGTGGTGAAATCTCCAATAGGCTCTGCCTTTCGGTGACTGAAAGAAGTCAGGGCTAGGAAGCAAAAAGAACCATTTTCAGAAAACAACCATTACTTTCTACTCGTTTCCTTCACCGGCTACTTCTTCATTTGACTGCATCAAAAACGAAATTGTTTTCATTTATAGATGGAAACCTATGACATAGAGCAGCTGTCTCAGTATGCTGAACAAGGTGATCTAAATAGCATCTCACGTATGTTTGACCACTACTCTTATCTCAGTAAGGAAAGAAACCAATTACAGTTGGTTAGTAATTGGAAATGGCTTACTTTTACAATACATAATCCTCTTCCGAAAATTTTTCTTTATTTTTCGATTTTCACTGAAAAGTTTTTTATTTGAAAATATAGAAATTTTAAGCGTAAGCTCAGGGAACAATTTCCAAAATTTTATAAATGTGATCTCTGTTTATCCAGTTTTATGATCCAAATAAACCAAATTATTGTAAATTAACCATCTAGCTTAGGTATGTAATTAAAACTTGCTCACCAAAAAAGCCAAAATCTAGTTGATTTATAAAGTTTTCCTGTCTGTTTACACCTTTAGGTCATCCTAATTCACAAACACCGGGACTAAAAGTCTTTGTTCATATATACCATGAGGCTAAAAACAAATTTACCTTTACATTAGTTCCTTAGTGTTCGGTAAAATATAAAATAATATCATGAAGTTCTGTGCATTCTTCATTCAAACTTTTTGGAATCAGAATTTTTTCGCTTCAGTGTAAACTGCTGTGTATAGCGTCTCAGAACGGACACGTAGACATCGTGGAGTACTTGATAAAGAATGGAACTGATGTCAATGAAACGAATGAAGATGGAGTAATACTGCTTGAATAAATCAAATTGCAGTAGCTTATTCTACTTTTCTTTCTTATTTATGAGAACTTGCAGATCTACGCAAGTTGAAACAGTCAGAAAAACTAGCTTATTGACATTGTCAGTCATGTCAGTAAAGATATTTTTATTTTAGTGCACTTCACTGTTCGTGGCATCTCAGAGCGGCCACACAGACGTTGTAAAATACTTGATAAAATGCCAGGCTGACGTCGCTACTACCGATGAATACGGGGTACTGTTATAACAAGCAGCCTAGTTATTTGATATTCTCTCATTCGCTTTTATAACTTATTA